TATAAACTAAATGACATGGTACGGCCTACTGAAGGAAGATTAATAAACTAAATGACATGGTGTGGCTTACTGAAGAAAGATTAATAAACTAAATGACATGGTACGGCCTACTGAAGGAAGATTAATAAACTAAATGACATGGTACGGCCTACTGAAGGAAGATTAATAAACTAAATGACATGGTGTGGCTTACTGAAGGAAGGTTAATAAAATAAATGGCAAGTTGTTTACTCAGGGCGACACAAAGGCAACCAGTACAGCTAATTAAATATACTGTTCTTACATTTCTACTTGTAAAGATTAAAATGTATTGATTGTTTGACATTTCTACTTGTAAAGATTAAAATGTATTGATTGTTTGGTCAGTTGGGTTGTAAACGATATTTGATGTCCACGATAAACTTGTAGACAAGATTAAAAGTGCAGAAACTAAATCAAATTCGTATGCATGTACGTGACAGAGAGATATAAATTAGATTTTCTTACTGAACTGACATTATACTTGTGGCTGACAGTAGAGGATTAGTTATGAACGGCAATACAGAACCTCGACAGTTGATTATAATCCTAAATCGTTATGTCGTTTTGTTAGTTTTGCAAACTGAAGTGATCTGCTGCTCATATGGACACAACATACTTTATAAACCAAGACTCATCTAATCTGTTTGTTCAGATATTGAGTGAATGGACAGACTCTTTGTTAAACCACCAATCTGTTACTGGTCATTAAGATAAAATTATTACGTTAAAATGGAACATCACAATAAACACATGATAAAATGTGATTTTAATATTATAGCTTTTGCATAAGATAATACTTTTCACTTAAACGGATATCACCTGCTTAGGCTTAGTGATATGGTTGCGTCCCTGACCGAAGTCACGTGTTTAGGCCTAGCAATATGGCGGCATCACTGGCGTACGTGATACTAATCATGCAAGTGAACTATGAAATTAAACCACGAAATTTCTCTATTTCACAATGAGTTGGATTTAATCTTTGGACTAGGATAAATTAACAGATAGCTTAATTACACCTCTTTATGTTTACTTAGTACGTATACATTAAGCAACGTAAAAGAAATTTATCAAAACGCATTAAATATGATGCATCCATATTAATAGTAACAAATTGGTAACAATAGTAACAAATACTTTTATTTCTTGCTTTTGAAGTTCATATGTCATGCTGTGTTGTAGCCTACAGAGTGAATAATTCTTCTCGTGATTCATAGCATGCGCACGGTTTACTGACGTCACAACAGTACAAATTGCAACATTAAGTGTCCCATATGTGACGTCATTTCAGTGTCTACCGACTTATTGACAGACAACACATTACTGTATTGTGGTGCGAATGGTTAAAACAAGTGACCCCTCCAGGTGTCCTTCTGCCCCCTTTCGGGAAAACACATTTGTCGTATAAAACCTTATACTCCTTATCGCGTGCAACTTCAGTTTTATTTCAATTTCTAGTCTTAAGTTTGTTGATTGTATTCTTTAACTTCTCGACTAACCTAAATGGAAGGTATGGAAAGTCCGAGAGGAACGAACTGACTGTTTAGTGACGTAGTTTTTATTTATTTATTTGCTTTCTACTGTATAAATATCCACTTAAGCGACATGTTCTGTACTTGTTATTAACTCGTGAAGCCTTATAACGCTAAAATTCAGATAACACACTGCGTAAGCTGTACACTAAAAACACAAACAAACAAAATGTCAATATTAAACCATGTTTATTTTGTCTGTCCAGTTCAATTTAGCTTGTTATTACAGATTATGTTAAAGATAATTGACGAAATTATTTTACCATAGTATGAAACATGTTAGTTTACACAGAAACCCAAAATTTATAATCAGCTATAATATGTTCTGTTTTTTGTTTGGAGAAATAAAAACTATCACTCCAACTACTCGACAGACGGCGCCACAGGGTTTTCCGAAATGTTTAGATCAAGCTACAAATATTGTGAAATTCAAAATGCAGATTTGTAAAGATCATTTCTAGAAACATCTAACATTGCATTTTAAATTTTATGATAACAGTACACAAAAATGTAACAGACATTTTCACGTGCTTTAAATAATGCTTATCATGATAGGTAGTTGAAATTACTAACCATTTTAACTGTTTTAAATTCCACCAGCCAATTTTTTCCCTGGGGCGAGGACACTGCAATCGGATCAGTGTGTGTTTGTCTGTCTATGTTTCCACGCGCGTATCTCGAAAACTAATAGATTGATGTATACCAAAATTTTACACAAGATGGGAAATTAGTATGGGACAGTCCTCCCCAAATTTAGCCCGGATCCAGGTTCTGTATGACTTTGAAGCATTTTTTATAACTTTATCAAATTATATGGGCACATTAAGGTTGAGACTCCTCTTAAAACTACAGAAATGATCCGGGTTGTTGATCATTCTGGATAAGAGAAGGATTTTCCGAGTCTTCGAAGATGAAATTTGACATTATCCAATATAAACGCATACAATCTCGAAAATGAGTGGCTTGGCCAGGTTTGCCCTCTTTCCGATTGATCTTTTGTTTGTGGAATTATGCGAGGGCTATTTGCTCTAGCCGTACTTAACTTTGAACCTACCGTTAACCCTTGAGTAACTCTTTGAAAACGGGATCGATCGTAACATTATAACGCCCCCACAGCTGAAAAGTCGAGCATATTGAGAGTCCAGTGCCCTAACCATCAGGTAATGCCAGACCTGTAGACAATTGTCACCATAACATTGGGTGTTTTCCTTGAGTACTCGTCAGAAATGTAACAATAATTTATGACGCGTTTTCCTTGAGTACTCGTCAGAAATTTAACAATAATTTATTACGTGTTTAAGGAATGGTGAGTTACAAGAAGGAGATGAATTATTGACGATTAACGGGAAGCAGCTTCAGGGGTTGGAGTTAGAGGAAGCCCAGAATCTCCTTCGAACACTTAATACCACAGTTAAACTATTGGTAGCGAGAAAGGTAAGTTAAACTCTACTTGGAAATACAATATTCTATAAAATCACCATACCTATTCTAGTATTCAAATAAGATAAGCTAATATTATATTACTAAGTGGTAAGTCTAGGAACTTAACGTTAGAAATCTGATAGATAGCTCATTGTGCAGCTTTGGGCTAAACAAACAAAAAATAATCTTATGTTATAATACCACATGTTGAAGTAAGTGAAAATCTAAAATGTGGTAAAAACTGGGTAGTTTTGAACAATCCATAACTTAGAAATCTTGAATATCCACCTTTAAATAAACAAAAATTCTACTTCTAGTTATATAAAATAATTTGTTCTGAAGATGATGATGTATTACGAAAATATTACAACTTCAGATATACAAAGAGCCACACGAAGAGGTTAACCTTTCAGAGACAAAACCCATCGTTACTTCTAAACAGTCAAGTCACGAACTGGATGAGAAATTCAGCTGGAAATTGGAAAGTTCTTCCAGTTCCGAGTGCCAACTGACCAACAGAGGTTCCTATCCGTCATCACAGAACACAGGAGAATATAGAGTGAGTGAGCCTGCGACACATATTTTTGTTGCTTTTTTAATCTTACCTTTACTAGGTAGAGGGTTTAATGTATATCGTTATACTTTTATTACACAGACTGTTTAGTATATGGACTTAGGAATAACCCAAGTCTTCCAAGCTAGCCAGATCTTGAGCTTATGACCGAAAGTAGCATTAACAGTATGAATGCCCAACTCGGGAAACAATACATTCTGATCTCCATAAGTAACAGTTTTGGAACGGGATAGTTAAACAGCAATGATAATTACCCTGCTAATAACTTCGGCTAACATGTACTTATAAAAGTGATTTATCTTCTATACATGAGAAAGTCGTGATTGTAGCATGTTAAGTTTTACAAGCTATGTTACTTTTAAAAAAAAAAAACATATATATATACATATATACAAGACTAACCTAAATTTCCTAAACTGGCCAAAAATATTGGTAGCAGCAACCTATGAACCAACTAATTTTAATGTTTATAAGCAAGAACATAAGAAAAGTACATACAATTAGCTAGTCATTAGAAAAGTACATGTAATTAGCTATAGTCATTATCATATAAATATTCTATTAATTAGGTGGCTCATGCTTTGATTAGAAGTTAATACTAACAGTGTAATGTCAATTTTACAGTTGTGTTTCATAATGCATCTTTTATAGGGTCCTTCCAATAACTTTTGCACTCTACCAAGAAGACCAAAGTCTTCCCAGCTATCCATTTACAGCATAGCTTTTGAAAAGGGTCCTGGCTGTAAAAGTCTTGGTTTTAGTATAGTTGGAGGGAAGGACTCGCCCAAGGGAGAGATGGGTATATTTGTGAAAACCATCTTCTCTAGAGGACAGGCAGCAGAAAGTGGAAACTAAAGGAAGGCAAGTGAAAAATATAGAAGAGCTTATAGAAAGGAGATGGTAGAATCACTCGCACACACGAGGTTATAGAAAGGAGATGGTAGAATGACACGCACACACACGAGGTTATAGAAAGGAGATGGTAGAATGACACACACACACACGAGCTTATAGAAAGGAGATGGTAGAATGACTCGCACACACACACGAGCTTATAGAAAGGAGATGGTAGAATGACTCGCACACACACACGAGCTTATAGAAAGGAGATGGTAGAATGACTCGCACACACA